GAAAGAAAAGTCACTAAGATGAGGCTGTGCTGGATGGCGAAGTTACACCTTAATTAGATGTTTTCAGGTAGGCTTATCCTTCTGAGTCTCGCTACGTGAACTATTGTTACGCCGTGACATTCGCCGCAGCATATTCGGAAACAACTTGCCAGCTAGTCCTTTCGATGATGAGCCACTAGACCCAGAAGGCGTCAAAGCACGCGGGTGAGCAGCTGAATAACTGGCCACTATAATCTCATCTCCACTTCCGACTGGAATAGATTCACCTGAGCTCATTTTCGCTGTTGGAGCTATGGAACTGGAGCTTGTAGAGGTGGAAGTGTCTTGAGATGCAGGAGTTGGTGCAAGCTTGACAGTAGAACTGCCCAGCTTAGTGGTTGGACTGCTGGCTCGTGTCGGTGTGGTAGATTCCTCGTGTGAGAGAAGATTTTCGGCGGCAAAATTGTCAACATCTGAGTCTAAAGTAATGGGCAGAAAGGATACAAAAAGATTGCGATCCATTTGGTGCCTTATACTACCAACTAGCAACATGATTAGGCCAATAATAACAGTCAGGTCATATAAGAAGATGCTATGGGCTAAATTATTCAATTATCGTAGCTTATGTTTCTAAAACTTGCCTATTATCAGATACCCGATAATTCGCAGCTCTGGAAGAAAATGATACAAAATATGCTTATGAAAATAAGACCATTTTTTGCTAATTAAATTTATAAGTCCTAGTGAAGTAAATTATGTCAACACAAGCTGACACTATCTTACATTTGGTCGTGCCTCTTTCCCATAATGATTTTATATGTTTGGGGGTCTTCTATAGTATCATTTATTAAGGCAAAGGCAAGTCATTCAACGATAATTTAATGGGACAAATTCTAGTAATAAAATAGACGAGAAAAGATTGGGAAGTGTTAAAAGGAGAAGCCTTAAGATATGAGCTGCAACCAGAATGATGGCAATGCCGTGTACTTTCCATACTCTTCAAAACAACTGTTAGCTTCGTTACATTACATACACAAATATCTCATAGCATTCATTTAGCCCTAGGACTCGTCAGCACTCCTGGTTGAAGTCGACTTATCAAATCACGCCACTGCATAAGGCATTGGGCATATCAGATCAAGACCTATCAAACCAATCGAAAGCCGACATTCAAATAACACAGTCTTCTTAGGCAGGAACTTCACGATTTATCCAGGGCCGTCTGCTTTTTGGCAATCGTTTCTTACAATTGCGAGCCGCCGTGGTTCGCCATACTCGCTTCTACATCATCAGTCCGCCTCAGCTTCCGCCTTTACACTCATTTCGTCTACAGCCTGGAACTTCCCACCATGACAGTGTCGACGTGTGAACGGAGCCAGCCACTATCTTCCAGGATGTCAGATAAGCGTGTCTCTTCTTATATGCTTCATACTCTTGTATGTCAATCCTTTACTCTTCTGCGTACAATTCTGTCGAGCCTCTGCGTAAGGATCGCGCTCAGCCAGCGTCTGCATCCCAGGCAGAGTTTTTTATCGACCATTTGATTGCGTCCGCATAAACAGGACTACACTTCCCTCGTTAAAGTAATGTGAGTTTGCTGAAGAACCGGCTTCAAATCAACGTAAACTATCCGCGTTGAGTCTCCGCAAAGTTTCATTCATTGGCATTTCCACGTTTGCTACACATTATTGGTTGCCCCTTCTTCAATCCTTCTGCTCATTCACGTTTATCACGAACTCAGATACAGTAAATTAGCTTTGTGTACCTGATATCTACATTCACAGGACTATTGTCTTTTTATTAGGTTTCAGTACAAGTCCTGAGGTAAAACTTGTTTGATTAGTTTAACTACCTAGACCCAAGGGAATTAATTAATTAAAGGAATAACAGTTCTTATTATTATTATTAATTTTTAAGTCATTACAGCATGATTGCCATCTCAAATAACCGCTGCGCTGGATAGACGTTTAAAAGATTATATTAAACATGTCATTTACACCAGGACTTCAGCTTTAAACCAAGGTCCACATACGCTAGACCAGTGAGTCAATCTTTTCTCTACGATGATGAGGCTCAGCTATTGAAGATGCCTCAATTAGCCAAAACTCTGGAGGAGAGTACTTCTGCAACCACATCAAATTTGTATTTAGAATAATCTAGCTAAAATTTGTAAGCATCCTGCAATACAAATCCAGATGAAATGTCAAAAATTATATGAATGATTCGATGGTTTATTGAAGAACTAAAATCCTGCTGACCAATGTGAAAAACAAACAGCTAAATAGGCCCATTAGTTTTACCAGATTCTTGATCTTTTATACAATCTCGACAAGTCGACATTCTATCAAAGAAAACAGTTCCATTTATCTTCTACATTGTCAGACGCGAAATAGCATAAATATTATCGTAATGATCTTGCTAATTGTGTCGATTCTTAATCATTTTTTAAACCATTTTACTATGCTCTATATGATAAGTTACCGCAGCAAATATCAAATATATCTGGCAATTTTATGCCAAACTACACTTACCTTAACTCTAGAGTAGTTAAATCAATTTTTCGGGTAAAATAATTATATGATTAAAAAGATTTCGAAGTCGCGTGTATTCTCTTCAATTATGTATCAACTTTTTTGTTGCGGAGACCTTCAGTTCGTACGAAAGTGCATGATGAAGAGATTAGTATGTAGATCTCACAAGAAAACGACAGAATCACGTTGTAATGCAGCCGTTTGTCTGCGACGTTCATGTTGATGCAGTCCACGGACCATCATCCCTTGTCTCGGGTTAAAACGGGCTGAGCTTTCGTCCATCAGCCAACAATAATGATAACACTAATGTTAACGTGAGACTTTCACATGAATGAATTCCATTACTGATAAGGTTCATCATATGATAGACAAAAACTCGGCCCGAAGTGAGGGAGGATGTCTCGTAGACTGCGCCACCCTAAACGTCCGATTAAAGCCAAACGGCTGCAGTAAA